AGCTGAATGAACTGCAACCTGGATCCTTTCCAGGTTCCTTCTATCACAGATAATCCCGACCACTCTCTGCACCACTTAGTACTAATGGAAGAAAAACAGCACATGATTTACTTTGTGTGCATTTCTGTCTTCAGCTTACAGAGTCATTTCTCACATTATACCACAAGAGGGCGCTCCAGATCAATCTCACCGCTACAACTGTTCCCTTTTATCGTCATTGTCACAGACTCATCCCATAGAAACACAAATCTCACAGTAAATGAGATTATACAAAAATGTTCTTGTAGCTCAGTAAGATAACGCCTCAATAATCACACCTGGCTGAACATAGCACTGCAAGTGCAAGAGTATCAGGCCTACATCATATATATGAAATCAACTATTGTCTTAACATAACAATCCAAAAAGGATATGACCTTGGGAATTTCTGTATTCTCATTAGACAGACGGGGAAACACTTCCCCTGTCCCGAAAACATCCGCTGATAGTTCCCCCCTCTCTCACATCAGGATCATTATCCCAGCAGCCTGCTCTCAGCAGCGTTTAGCTCATTTTGTCTGCAAAACTGTCACCAGAAGCACCAACGCAGGCTAAAAAGACACATTATAGGCTATTTATTATTTTGACCCTGACAGAAAAGTTGCTCCCCACAGTTCCTGCTCATTGTTCCCTTAACACCGTTTCCTCTGGGAAACTTTCAGCCTTGGGAGTGGGAGCTGGACGAGGATAATTACTGGAAGCCCTGCACGGGGGCAGGGGCTGCGCTGGCTGTAAATGGCCCTTTTCTTTCGGCCTGATTGGGCCCGGACCACTCCCCCTCGTCGCTCCTCCATTGGTCCGAGCCCACATCAATCTGGTGATTTCCAAGTGCCCCTCAAGTTTGAAACTTTTTTTACGAGTGGGAGGAATCGAGTTACAACAAACTGGTAACTGATCGCGCGGCAGCCGAGGGAAGAAAACACGCGTTCAATAATTTACACATCTGTGCCGAGGACACGGTTACAGAAGAAAAACTGAACTGAACAGCAGCGAGGACGTTTCACAGCGACACGCAGCAGAACGAGAGGAAGAAAACCTCAATATGAAGTGACTTTATCTGCTCTGCCAGGATGAACTCTTGAGACTTTTCGCTCTCAGTACTAACTTGCTGTCATCTGGCCGACCGACCGTGAAGCTGCGTAAGGTGAGTCCACCTCAACGCTCGACCAGTTAATGAAACATCCCCGCGGCCTGTGGTTAAACCAGCTCCCCCCTCCTCTCCTCTCCTCCTCGGACAAACACGGACTTGATGAGAGCTGTTTTTGTTTTCTGCGTTTCTTTACGTGTTTGACAGCCTCCATGTTTGGCTCGAGCTCAGCGGAAGTAACATCCAATCAGTTCGTGCGTGATTGGGATACTTTAGCGTTTGATAAGAGATTTAGCGGCTAACGGACCGTTTATAAGGGGAAGGAGAGTCGCTCGGGTTGTTTGATAAGATGTGGACACGGTGCGAGAAATGAAAGATAAACAGTTTGTGCTTCATGCGGATGATTATTAGGATTATGTGTCTGCTTTGATTGGTCATTGATTGGTAATGAGCAAGCACCGCTGAAGCTCTGACTGTGGGGGTGGTGTATACACCAGCCGCCCATGTTTCAGGCTTTTGTGCGGCTTTAGACCGTGTTTGCTGGATTTAATAGGAAGACATTAACGTTTATTAGTAACCATATTGTGCATACTACAATGGGACTGTGCAAAAGTCCATGATCATTTTGTTTACAAGGACCTGTGCCTTGTAATCTTTCACAGTTCTGCTTTGGATACTGGCTGCGTTTTAAGCCCAGTCCTTGTACCTTTTTGTTGAACCACTTGTGAATCATACAACCACAAAAAAGGAACCAAAATCAAGGGACAAACCAGTATTGTGTCTACACGTGACCGACAACTTGGCAGAGAACCAATTTTAAATGGTATCTTTGGGCACTTTGTTACTAACAGCCTGTTGCAAAAACATATCATTTGTTAAACACAGTTTCAAAAAGGTCGTTTTGATGCCGCAGGAGCGATTAGCTGGAAACCTGGCATATCTCCACATGGTCTGCAGCGAGTCCTTAAAAAGTCTGGGGGGGCTGCAAATACCTGACAAAGGACCGGAGATGCATCTGGGCCTTCAATCGATCCAGCTACTGTTTGCTGAAGCCTCATCAGAAATTGTCCCAGTGGAAGAGCGACTGTCAATAGGTCATTTTTAAAGAACTCCAAGAAGTGCAGCGGCAACGGTTCTTCATCAATGCAATGAAGCACACGGAGGTCAGGAGAGATGTGCAACAGTTATGTGTTAGCCTCACAGTCTAATCCTCAACACTGTGGGAAAAACCCTCTAACACGCATGTTTTGTAACACATTGCTGTGTTTACATTGCAAAGCTTTTCTCCACGACAAGGCCGGCGGTGGATGAATGGCTTCACTGTGCAGTGGCTGCACACATTACCACGCTCAGCCTCAGAAGGCACGTTAAATGAAACATGGCCTTGGATTAGGACTTGGAGGTCCGTCTCTCCGTGCGCGGGCAAAAACCGCTGTGGCATTTTCCGACCTGCTGTCTTTTAGTTGCAAAGCCGTCCTTTGTAGCTTCGTTGTTGGTGGCAACTGCAACAAGTGAGCGGAGGAAGAATGAACAATAGAGTAACTGCAAGACCTCATTTCAACACCTGCTGCTTTTGAAAAGGGAAAGGTGGAGTCTGTGCCTTTAAATCCTCCTAAACTGCATATTTAATTGGCTATATTTATCTCCTCTTACTCTTTAGAAATGACGATGGGCATTTTTCTGGACTATTTTCCAATAACAGGTCGTAACCTTTCCATAAATCCCTGAAGCGATTGTCTTCATTGTCTAAATGAAAGCCTGCAGCAGGTCGTGCACTGGTCACACAAAGCAAAACCACCTCCAGTGTTTGGGAAGTGGGGTCATTATTTTTGAGGTTTTGCTGTATGCAAGATGAATTGGTTAATCAGTGTAACAATCAATAATGGGAATAATCATAAGTTATAGCTGTAAAGTAGTCGTATTGGCTTCTATTGCTACAGACAGCCACGAGAATAACTGATGGCAGCTTTTAAGAACTATATAAATATGTTTTCCTCATTAATCGTGGCTTTTGTGTTCATTGTTTTTTATACTATATGATTTTTGAAAGACGATCAATAATATATAATGCTATCCCAGCAGGATTAAGCCTCGTCTGTTTGTATTTCCGTGTAACTCTATCCGTGCACATCTCCTCCTTTGCGTGTCTTGTCGAGCAGGACAAAGCAGTCACGTTGCTCAACATTCCCCATGCAGTGTTATTAAGGGCAGTGCATGAAATTGCGGCAGTAATCCCAGAGACGCTGTTGGTCCTGCTGAGGAGACGCCATGGTAACTCATTAACAAGACAAGAGAGGTGTTTGACCTTTCTTTTACTGGTCTGCGCCGCTCAGCCGAGCACGCAGGTGGCCGCTAAATCCCGTGATTCTGCATGAAAGGCCAGAGCTGTATGACCTGGAAATATCGTGACGTTACTTGAAATAAAGGCAGCGAGGGCCGGTATCAGTTATGTCACAATCATATCCTCTCGTGCCGGTGGCCCCTCTGTTTTCACTAATCCTCGGCCCTGCTGTTCCTACAGCCAGGCGCTCCTTTTATTAAACATCAAGTTAGCAAATGATGCTCTCTGGGCTCTGAGGTAAGGCAAATTAGTCATAATGTGTCGTACTCCTATGGTGGCCTTAATTAAAATGTCACAGGCCCGGACATCAGTCACAGCACGAGCAGCTTGATTATGTCCTGCATTATTTGCAGCGGTGTTAACGTGATAAATATACAGACTTGAAACTGAAACAGTAACAAGCGGGCTGTTTTTTCCAGTCTTTCTCTTTGCACGTTGGTCCAAATTAACTGGGCTCCGAGTTAAAACAACTACCCACTTATGCATTTTAATGCAAGAACAAATGTTGTCAGTGAGTGCTGCGCTGGCCCCAGGCAGCGCGGCAGCGACTGTATTCCCAGCCTTATTACACATGCGTAACACTGACTGATGTTCCTAAATTATTGCCAGCAGCTCGCAGTTGCTGTCTCTTACTGTACGCGCCGACGGCCCACCCTTTATCCGTATCCCACGTGTCTGCCTGAACCTGTTGCTCCACAGCAGACTGCTCTTAGCCTTTAGTCTATTTTAGTCCATATCGGCAGTCTGAATTATTAATTTCCGATCCATTATGTGCCAATGCGTTAATTATTAATTGTTGAGCGGGCTCTGGCAGATCTGAGGAAAGTGTTAAAAAGAAAAGAAACCGGGGGGTTGGAGTACGGTTTCTGAGCGAAAGGCACTGATTGCTTCCTTTCTCAGCAAATCTGCACAAGTCTTCAGAGATGACTGTGTGGGAAGCAGAGGCTCGTCGTTCAGAGCATGCATGTTGCATGTATGTGCCCCCATCCGCATGCATGTTGCATGTATGTGCCCCCATCCGCATGCATGTTGCATGTATGTGCCCCCATCCGCATGCATGTTGCATGTATGTGCCCCCAGTTATGGCTCTTCATGTCAGCACTGCTGAGCTGGATGAGTGCGAGCAGAGAGAGCATCGTTACGCAGACATACAGCTGTTAGCACGTACAATGCTCCAGCTCTGGCTCTATTAGCAGTCAGCACCTCCTCTGTTATGCAACACCTCGAGAGAAGAGTGAGACAAACACTACAAAAGTTGATGAAAGATGAAATTGCAGCGTTCACTTGTCCTGAAATCCTGCTGTTGATTCCCCCAACAGTGGAGTGGCTCCATTGGAGCTCATTTGAGTGGTTACTCTCATAACACAAAGCACGGATGTGCCTTATATAACAACCTGGATTGTCTATTGTCTCTCAGAGTGGAGACAGATTATATCATACAGCTGGGGAGAATGTGCAGAGATTTTTCCTTTCATTCAAGATTTGCCACAAAAATCAATTTAATGACATCGTTAATGTTTTGGGGGTTCCCCCCCCCCCAAACTTGACACTTTGTTTTTCTTACAGCTCTGCAGTTTTATGAGGCTTTTAAATGGAAACGCTGGTACACTGCATGCATCTTTTTAATAACTTGTGGAAGTTTAACCAGAAGCAAGAAAGCAAATACAACACACCAGTGTGTACACAGCAGGGCGTCGTCCAGTCCAGCAGCCATGCAATAAATGCTTTGTGGTGCTTATCATGCAGATTTTTTGTTGCCACTGTCGCCTCCGCTCCTTATGTTGATGCTCGACTGTAATGCAAAATGCAGGGCAGCCATTAACCTTGCACTGCTGCTCTAATATTACAATTAACTGCTGATTACTGGAAATAACCAAGTAATCCTGAATTAGAAACTGAATGCTGTCAGTTGTGCAATCAAGTGCTTTTTGAATCTGAATGGATGAACTATTTAATCAGTTGGAGAGCAACAAAAATCATTTTTCCACAAAAGCAAATAAAAGACTAAAAACTCTTAAGAATAAATTGCTATTCATAAAAAAAAGATTAAAAATATCGATCCTGTTTGCAGCACCTTTTGTCTTTTTGTGATATCTGTTATTTTACTTGGACGACTACAGCAGGAAACGACAGGAGAGCAGCGATTTGGAGTGGTAGAGGATGTGGTAAAGGTCACTTGCATGTTCGCCGAGGTTTATGCTTTTGGAAAGGTGAGACTTAAAACCGGGAAAGAGTCTTCCTGTGTTTAATACACCTGGACGTATTGTTTTGTTTGCAGCAGATAAAAATAGTTAGTGAGAAATGCCAGAGGTAATTATCGACACGTGTGCTGCAGTGGAGAGCAGATAATGGGGCTGTTTTCTGTTGTTGTGCAGCGCACAATTCAGTGTGATTTATGTCTCTTCAGTAATCGCCTCCATCCTGAAGCGGTGAAGATTTTTCTCTGCTGATGGAGTTGTCTTTTTCAGGGTCACAGTGCCCCAATCCATGTGACTAGCGATCCCTGAAGAGCAGGAAAGTCGTGACATTTTCTGCTGCCATCAACCAATCACTTAGAGGATGAAGTGTCATGGAAAGTTCTACAGACTCTGTCAAAGCTTTTTTAGCAACTTTTGGTGGCCAAGCAGTGTAGAAACACATCTTTCACTGGTTTTTCTCTTTATGCTGGCTCTTATCAGCATCCAGCAAGCTGTCTAGATTGGCAGCAGGTATTAAA